TATACAATATAACTGTTTTTGCTGTATTTATCAAATAAATGCAGCCTTGGTGAGCATGAGAGTCGTCTTATGAAAACATTTAGAAAAATCCTACTGACCCCATGCTATTATAAATAGTAATAATAACTGGCAAGTTTCCAAGAGAGTTTTAATGTGACCATTACAACGTTAAATATACAAAGTTAAATCTTATTTAAGAAAAATCAGCCACTTGAACCTAAAAGTGTAGTAGAAGAAACACATGCACACAGCAACATGAAACCTCATAATGTCTGAACATATTGATTGATGCTTTAGTCGGCTGTTTATCTGCAACTAGAGCTCATGGCTGATCCTGACATGCCCTGAGCTCCTGCACAGAAAGCTTGTTTGCTTTCCACTTCCCCCCCTTTAATGAAGAACCAGGATAACATCAGATCCGCTGTCACTGTATTGCTATTGGGAACCTGAAGGCACAAAACTGCCTATCAAGGGAGCATTCTCATTTCCTCCTACCATCAGACTCCCGTTCTTGCCCTTTCTGTACTGAATACTGAGGGATGCTCTGTTTTTCAAGATAGCATCTGTAAACCACACTTTATGGACGAATAATGAACTATCAGTCGTATCTCACCGTCTGTTGTCTTAAGCCATCTGACTCCTGCCCCTCTATCTTTCTTTAATCTTCGTCCATTCAGGCCTGCCGTTTCAGTCCTTGTCTTTTTGTGTTTTATCTAACATGTTTTCTCTTCCTCTCAATAGAAAACCCATCAAAGCGCCCTACAGGTCCAGCAGAAAGCCGAGGCCCTGCTGCAGGCTAATCACTACGACATGGACATGATCCGAGACTGCGCCGAGAACGTGGCCTCCCACTGGCAGCAGCTCATGCTGAAGATGGAAGACCGGCTCAAGCTGGTCAACGCATCTGTGGCCTTCTACAAGACCTCCGAACAGGTCTGTAGAAGGGTTTGTGTGACTGATGTCATGTCACAAGTTGTTGTCACGTCATATCTGTGCATTTAAGCATAGATTGAACACTATTCATTGACCAATCAGCATCCAGGTCTTTTATAATTCATGCTGTAATGAGTTTAAAAGGCCAACAGGCAGTTGAGGGGTCATCTTCCTGTCTATGCTGTAGGTGTGCAGTGTTTTGGAGAGTCTGGAGCAAGAGTACAAGCGTGAGGAGGACTGGTGCGGTGGAGCGGACAAACTTGGGCCCAACTGTGAAACTGACCATGTCACCCCCATGATCAGCAAGCATCTGGAGCAGAAAGAGGCCTTCCTCAAGGTAACTTATCCAAAACCAAAGGGCACATCATTCCTTTGAGTCAGATCGATTCACATTCATTCTGACTGCTCTAACTGAATCATCTGAAGTCTGGCAGTCAGTAAAACAAACAGAAGGTATCGAGATACTTAACACGGAGTACAAAAAGCGCTGGATGAAGTAGATATTCACCTACGAACAGAAAGCTACTTTTTCAGAGGTAACTTTGAGAAGATTCGGCTACAGCTGTCATGTGAATAAGCAGCCATTCACACCAAAAGTGTTTCCACCCATACGCCCATTTTTCAGGTGTTTTCCTATGCAAACATGCGGTAGATGGACATTCAGCTATTTTGTTGCTCTTTAAAACATTTAAAACAGGTAGTTTGGTCTAAACAATCTCAAGTCTTACAGAAGTGTGTAATGGTTACATGAAAGCCAGACATACTCTAGCAAAATTAAAACTTCTCTTTTTAACACAAGCATAGATTGAAATTAAGCGTTGTTTTGACAGTGTTTGGTTGATTTCTCTGTTGCATTCTGTGTTTCAGGCATGCACCTTGGCTAGACGGAATGCCGACGTGTTCCTAAAATACATGCACAGAAACAGTGTCAGCATGCCGGGGATGCTGAGTCACGTCAAAGCACCAGAGCAGCAGGTCAAAAGTGAGTTTTGGCCCACCGCTTTGTCAAAACAGTCCAGATAATGACTCAGAAATACTGCATATAGGGTAATATACATTCTGACTGTGTATTATCCTACTTATGGAACATCTATGTACTAAATATATTAATAAATGGAGAGGAAATATTGATTTTGTTAACTTATTTTGTGAGAAGTTGTGAGAAGGCTGTGAAGTGATGCAAGAGACATCACTGGGATAGCAGTCAGTTATACAGTTTACCAGACATTATGCAAAAATATATAAACTGTAGAATACCACAACTGACCATTCAGAATCAAGCATTCCAGAGAGACATATAATAAACACACGGTACCCCTCATATGTCCCTGTAGTATTTCAAATCCTGTTCCACTTTTCAAACCACAAGGCTACAGATGCTGCCTCTGTGCATGTTTTCCTCTTATTTACCAGTTTTCCCTCTGCTGGCTCTCTGGGGATATGACAAAACACAGTCTGTCTTCCCCATAGGGGTTGAGATCCAGTTCTTGTTGATCTTACGGTTTTTTTTTTTCTGTGAGCCATCTAAAATAGCTCTGGTCTGCCATCTAATGGCCGAGCAGTGCGCTGCACCCTTACTTGAGTTTTTAGCAGCTGTCCCACTTTGGCCCACTTTAGCCCAGTTTAGAATGTGTGCATTGTGAATGTGGCCCTGTTCTGTTCTGAGTGTGCTTACAGTGACTCAGATAAGGAAACCGTAAATGGGTCAGGCCTCCGCCATACAGAGACGGCAGCTTACTGCAAAATGGTGACAGTATTACTCCACTGGGGATCATCACATTAGCTTCATGCTTCACACACACACACACAAAACATTGTAAAGTGCATTTAAAAATAATAGTAGATCTATTATTGTTGATATTTTCCTATCACCAGATAAATTCAAGCAATAGCCATTCAAGCTTCAATTAACCATTTAATATTACATTTTATAATCAAATGGGTTACATTTTATGTAAAAGTCTTTTAATAATAGATAGAATTAAATGTAATATACAATAATTTAATAATATTTTTATTTAATAATTGGAGTCAATATTTTGTTTAATTCTCTAGTTATTTTTTATTGCTTGAAATGCACTGATGGTAGAATAATAATAATAGTATTATAGTTTTTTTCTTACCATCAGTGCAATTTAAGCAATAAACGATATAATTCAAGAAATACAATTTTTTTACAACTCTTTGTGATGTCTATTCAGTGATTTACTCGTCTGCCATAATATTGTTTGAATTATCTTAATTTGGAGCTTTCTCAGAAAAAGGTCAATTCGATTAAATAATCTGCACATCTTGTATCTACTTATTTCTATTGATTGAGAGCACTAAGTAAAATACATATTAAATATAATGATTAGCATGATTTCAGTGGCTTACCCTAGTGGTTAAAGATCTGGGCTGGTGTTTAAATGTTGTGCTTCAGAACTGCGGTGTACATCATGGTTAAGAATGATTATGTGTAATTTTATAGATATCCTGAATGAATTGCTGCAAAGGGAGAATCGGGTCCTGCACTTCTGGACCTTGAGGAAGAGAAGGCTGGACCAGTGTCAGCAGTATGTGGTGTTTGAACGCAGTGCCAAACAGGTTTGATGTCCCTCTCTTCCTCCATCTGCTCCTTTGATGTCTGATCAGTCTGATTATTCACTTTTTCTTGGCCCAAGGCTGAGACTGACAGACTCATGACTCACTGCCATGGCTCTAATTAAACCGCACAGAGACATTATAATTAAGTCATTTACCTTTTTTGTGTGAGTGTTTTGATTTGGACTTTTGTGCAGTAGAGCCATAGAGTTTGCTTGGAGAATCACATTAATATTATATGGAAAAGGCCTATTGATTAAACTATCACAACCATGCACATTTATAGTTTCAGTTGGGTTTTGTTTTTGCATTTAGCTATGTTTTACCTTACTGTTTTAAACCGTTTTTACCACACTATTTTAAAGTGCTTCTTTCTCTCTGTCCAGGCTCTGGAGTGGATCCATGACACCGGTGAGTTCTATCTGTCCACACACATCTCCACTGGCTCCAGCATCCACCACACACAGGAGCTTCTGAAGGAGCACGAAGACTTCCACATCACAGCCAAGGTACAACTGCACCACTGCGGAGACAATCACCTGGGCTGCACCTTTTAACTCTGCAGTTACCTAAAGCTCTTTCTCTTCCTGTGTCCCCAGCAAACTAAAGAGCGGGTGAAGCTGCTGATACAGTTAGCGGATGGTTTCTGTGATAAGGGTCACTCCCATGCCGCTGAGATTAAGAAATGGGTCACGGCCGTGGACAAACGCTATCGAGACTTCTCCCTTCGCATGGACAAGTATCGCACGTCTCTAGAGAAAGCCCTCGGCATCTCCACAGACTCAAACAAAGCAGTATGTGTTTTCTTTCTCATAATAGTGTGATATCTGATCATTCTGAGTCTTGACATGCAACATTCCAGCATTTCTCATGAGTTCACATGGTTTAGAGTCATAATCTGGACAAAGAGTTTGTGCTTTTGCCAGCAGGCTGTCAGCAGATTATGTAAAATTAGTATTTACAAAATGCATTAGCAGCATCAATCATTTTTACATACTCTAAATAGTCAAGTCTTTTCAGAGAGTTGTTTTACAAGATTTACAGCTATTAGAATATTCCTGTATGTAATCAGCATATTCAGAATACATTAAAACATATTTCCTGGTATTATCTTCTAGAAACACTTGAGGTGCAAGTTTTTACTTTGTTTTAATTGTAGTTGTACACTATAAATGAATAAACAATTCTCTTTCATGTCCATAACAATGACACAATAAATTACAGATTATTAAAGTATTTATTAATATTTTGAATTGGGGTTTATTTTTTAGTTTTCAGTTTTAATTTTAGTTTAAGTATTAGTCATTTTATGTGATAGTTTTAGACCTTAGTTTTACATCTAGTATTTATTTTGTTTTATTTCTGCTATCAGAGTATTTTTGCGCATGTAATAATAATCAGTGGGAATAGTCCTGAAAAAGATAGCAGTCAGAAGACTGTGGGATTAACACGTCGTTTTTAATTTCCAGAGTAAAGACCTGCAGTTGGACATCATCCCAGCCAGTGCTCCAGGGTCAGAGGTCAAGCTCAGAGATGCTGCCCATGAGCTTAACGAAGAGAAGCGCAAGTCTGCCCGCAGGAAGGAGTATGTCTTATTTACTGTTACTCATTGACTGAAAGGTCACTGAAATATTCAAATGAATTCTTGGTCTTTTAGACTGAGAAAGATCTACATTTTCTGATATAATGATTTTGTCTTTTCCATTTTTGTAGCTTCATCATGGCTGAGCTGATCCAGACAGAAAAAACTTATGTACGAGACTTGAGAGAGTGCATGGATGTGAGTATTTTATTGTACTGTATATTATTAATGTGTTTTGGCTCAGTCATTAAAAAAAGTTTTTATTTGGATCTTTTGTCCTAAATTATGGAATATTCAAAGCAAATCACGATTAAAAACCTCTTACTTCAGACTATAATGTAAATAAATCTATCAATCTGAATCTTTTCCTCTCATCCAGACATATCTGTGGGAGATGACCAGTGGCGTGGAGGAAATCCCACCAGGGATAGTTAATAAAGAGCATATCATTTTTGGTAACATGCAGGACCTCTACGAGTTCCATCACAAGTGAGTTCATGCAAATGCTTTAACAAGTGAAAAAAAGTCCATTTTTTTAAGAATAAATCCTCCCATCCAACATCCAATGAGTTACTTTCCTGTTCTCTCTAAGTGGCTAATATATATCGCTCTTTTTTTTTTCTGTGCTTCACCAGTATATTCCTCAAAGAGCTGGAGAAGTATGAGCAGCTTCCTGAAGATGTGGGCCACTGTTTTGTGACTTGGGTGAGTAGAGTTAACTGTGTTTGAATACTAATGTTTTATCTGCCTCTTTCAGAATAAGGTTATTAAAATGCCTCTTTCATCTTTCTGCAGGCCGATAAGTTCCAGATGTATGTGAACTACTGCAAGAACAAACCAGACTCCACTCAACTTATTCTTGAGCATGCTGGAGGATATTTTGACGTGAGTTGAATGTTTCTGTTATGATTAAAGTATTTCATTAATTTTGAAGTTTCATCATGTCTGCCTGTCAGTGGCCAATTTGAAGCTCAATGGTGAAAGTTGGTATATTGATATTGCTGTTACAGGAAATCCAACAGAGGCATCGCCTGGCCAACTCCATCTCATCATATCTCATCAAACCTGTTCAGAGGATAACCAAGTACCAGCTGCTCCTCAAGGTAAAAACATCTTGGATTCATCCTGAAATTTACAGACAGGTTTGTTTGAAAGTTCAGTGGTAAGTCGGTTTGCATTTGTAGGAGCTCCTGACTTGTTGCGAGGAAGGCAAAGGTGAAATCAAAGATGGCCTGGAGGTTATGCTCAGTGTTCCCAAGAGAGCCAACGACGCCATGCACTTGAGCATGCTGGAAGGTGAGCGGACGCACACAGACACACAAAGACACACATGGGGCGGATGAACCGGTTTCTGATGGCAGTGAATGTCTTCAGGATTTGACGAGAACATTGAGTCCCAGGGAGAACTGATCCTTCAGGAGGCGTTCCAGGTGTGGGATCCCAAGACCCTGATCCGTAAAGGACGGGAACGTCACCTGTTCCTCTTTGAGATGTCACTGATCTTCAGCAAGGAGGTTAAAGATTCCAATGGCAGGAGCAAGTACATCTACAAGAGCAAGCTTTTTGTAAGTTCCACAGCTAGGTTAAAAAACTGAAACCTCTTTATATGCAGGAGATCTGATTGTTTTAAAGGCTTTGTTCTGACTGCAGACATCTGAACTGGGTGTTACTGAGCATGTGGAAGGTGATCCATGTAAATTTGCCCTCTGGGTTGGCCGGACCCCAACTTCAGACAACAAGATTGTCCTCAAGGTAACCCTCTCTTTTACTCTCTCTTGCTCTATTGAAAAGCATGGCACTGTTTTGCTCCAGCTTTCTACGTTGCATCTCTGTGTAGCTTGTCTCATTTGCACTTTAACAAAGTATTTGTAAAATCCACATATACAGTGTGAAGACTCACATTTTTCACTTGTTTTTACAAACTGGGGGGTGAAATGTCAGTTGTTTTCTGTAGTAATTGACAGCATGCCTCAGGTGCTGTTGATATGATTTGACATGAAATATTACTTAAAAATAGAACACCTCAGGTTGACCCTAAGGACACTGTTAACAAAAACAAAAATTAATTTGTATCAAACTGGGCCATTGATTATAGTAAGATATGAATATTGCATCTTTGGTTCTGACTGCTTGTTAATAAAGTGCAAGGAAACAAAAACAAAAAAAAGAATAGTCTCCACTGGTGGTGGCTCACGTGCATTGTAAGTGGCTTCTGTCTCACAGTAACTGTTAATTGACTGCATGCTGCTTTAAAACCATAAGGCTACTCTGTTCAAAACTTCTTCAGTGAAATGTGTCAAAATTACAGTTATTTACTGTCCGTTTATATGTGGTTTACTGTGCATCATAAGAGCCAAAGAAAAATTCTCTGCTTAAATCATTCAGTGTCATGTCACCCACCCAAATATGTATTTTATAGTTTATATATACTGTCTCTTTTTTTTGACAAAAACAAAATAAAATATATTACAAATATATATGTATGTATATAAAGACTGCAGTTTTATACACTTTAAGAAATAGTTTTAAAATATTTATTGAACACTTAATTATTTGAATTGAATTATTTACATCTTAATTAATTATTTACATCTTCAAATGGCAGTGACTAATGTATAAACTATTTATCACAACACTTTGACAAATTTAGCTCTAAATGATCACAAAATGTTTATTAATGTTGCCCCTATGTCTTACCGACCACTGTCTCATGCAGTATGATATATGGCATTTTATAAAGCAGTAAAATCTTGTATATTTCTATATTTCGAATGAAGCTAAGTCAGGGATGCAAACATGGATCCATGGTGAGTACGGCCACACAGATAACTCACCCTTAGTTAACCATTGAACAGAAAATAAGTGTGTACTCTTACTCAACATTGTGTATTTCTCTGTGTTTTCTCTCTCCACACACATAAACACAGGCGTCCAGTATTGAGAACAAACAGGACTGGATAAAGCACATCCGTGAAGTGATTCAGGAGCGCACTGTGCATCTGAAGGGGGCTCTGAAGGAGCCCATTCACATCCCCAAACATTCCACAGCCAAACACAAGGGTCGCAGATACACCCCCAGGCCAGTGAAACATCTCTATTCTTACTTGAATATTCTTACTTTTTCTGTTAGTTTTATTTGGTCATTTTTACCCTTCAGCTTCATTTAGCTGTTGCTGGATTTGTTCTTCCTTCAATTTTCTTAGTATGTGGAACCATACTAAGACTAGGAATCCCAGAGTAGGAGTTAATTTCTTGTGTGTGTTTATGTGTGCAGGGATGGAGAGGATCTGGACAGTCAGGGTGACGGCAGCAGTCAGCCGGACACCATCTCACTTGCCTCCAGGACCTCACAGAACACACTGGACAGCGACAAGGTGAGGATACACCTGTTAATATTTCTATTTTTAGTTTCAGTTTTTGTATTTTTAGTACTTCAACTTGAGGAGTAGTTCACCAAAAATGAAAACTGTCATCATTTACTCACCCTAAAATTGTTCCAAACCCGTATGAGGTATTTTGATGAACGTTGGTAACCAAACAGTTGCTAGTAGCCATCGACCTCTAGAAAAATTGTTAAGTTTGAACTGGAATATTTTGGCATATTTTTTATCATTATGCATATTACTCAATAATTTTTTTTACTGAACTTTTGTGTCATTTCAGGCATAGTAAATTTGACTAAAATGAATTAATATAATATGGAAAAATAATGACAAAATTTAAAGGAATTTTTGACAAACACTATGACTAAAATCATGGCACATTTTTTTTTTTTTCTTTAGTTGTCAGGTGGTTGTGAGCTCACAGTGGTCATCCATGACTTCATGGCCGGTAACAGTAATGAACTGACAGTGCGAAGGGGACAGACGGTGGAGGTACTAGAGAGGCTCCACGATAAGCCAGACTGGTGCTTGGTGCGGACCACTGACCGTTCCCCTGCCCTGGAGGGCCTGGTGCCCTGCGCCATGCTCTGCATTGCCCACTCCCGCAGCAGCATGGAAATGGAGGGCATCTTTAACCACAAAGGTGGGCAAATTTCTGAAATGCTTTCCAAAAATCATCCCAAGCCTGTGTCAGATAATAATCACAAGCTTCTCTTTCTTTTTCTGTGTTTTTCCAGACGCGCATTCTGTGTGCAGTAACGATGCCATCGTGCCAGGCTCCTCTGCCACCCTACAACCAGGTCATGTGATGGGCTCCCAGAGTTCCCCTGGGCCCAAACGCACTGGCAATACATTAAGGAAATGGCTGACCAGCCCTGTGAGGCGACTCAGCAGTGGTAAAGCCGACGGCCACGTGAAAAAGCTTGCGCACAAACACAAGAAGAGCCGTGACGTCAGAAAGAGCGCCGACGCAGGCTCACAGAAAGACTCGGACGAAAGCGCAGCCACACCACAGGATGAGACTCTGGAAGAGGTTTGTGCACTTTCTGTTTTTGCTTTCTTGTATATCTTGCTAAATATTATTCATACTTTTTCAAAGCTGTTCTTACTGGTTTTCTAAATACATAGCCTAATTTGTGGTTTGTCCCTGAACCTCCACAGAGGGTGCGTAACGAGGGTCTAAGCAGCGGGACCCTCTCCAAATCATCATCATCAGGTATGCAGAGCTGTGGAGAGGAAGAGGGAGAGGAAGGAGCTGATACTGTGCCTCTTCCTCCACCCATGGCCATCCAGCAGCACAGCCTCCTCCAGCCGGACGCACAGGATGACAAGGTGAGCCGGCACTTGACAGAGCAGAGGGGGGCGACAGAGGAGAGGGGTCGGTACGAGTGAGAGTCACTTGTTTAGATTTCCATTTTTTGTTTTTGTTTTTTCTCGCTGTCAGCCTTTAAGCCTCAATCCTGTCAGAAATCCTCAAATCCATTAAAATCTTCTGTGTGCCATTGTTTAATAATATTTCCTCTTGGGATATGCGATCTTTACTTTCACTTTCAGTTTTCCAGTTCTAGCTCAGTTCCAGTTCATGTGTGATTTCTGATCATTTTAAAACCGAAATGGGAATCATATTGATCCCCCATCACTCCTGGCATTAACATGCGTCTTCTGAGATTGGATCAGTTGGAGATTGGATGAAGTCTTGGATGGATTCTGATCACATTTAATAAGGTTGAAATGTGTTTATTTGCAATTAATCAACAATTTCAGATTATTTATTGAAAATAAAACGAATGGTGGTTTATTAGTTCCATATGTCAACACTACCAGTTCTAAGTGTTGAAGTGTTGTGTTGGACAATGGGAGGCCTTAGAGTCAAAAAGGTTGAGAACCACTGGTCTACATCCCATCACAAAATGCATGTTAATGCCAGCCTTAGAGATAGAGAGAGAGATTTTTCTTTAGATAGAATGTAATCATCCTATAGTCTCTTGTAGAATGGCCACTGTAGGATGAAAAGCTCGAGTTCTAGCTGGTCTCATCGCTGCTCAAGAACAGCTTGTGACACTAATTTGTTTTTCTCTTTTGTTTTGTTTGGGCTGTATTGTTTGCCATAGCATTACGTTGATTTGTGTCCTGTCTATGTTTTATCTCAGTTCCCATACCTCTCCATCTGACTCCTCCCTTTCTGGCCTCCCTCCTTTCATTTCATTTCTCATTGCTTTATTTTCCCTTAACCCCCCTGGCTTATCAAAAGACCCAAGACCCCCTTTCTTTCTACTTTTATTTGCTGTCTTTTTTGTTCTTGTTTTTTTTTTGGTAGAGATTTAGAAGCCGACCACTTCCTGAGAATTCCACTTTGAAGTAGTGTTCTTTTAGAAGCGGATTCCTCACTTTGGTTTGATTCCGTTATTCCGCTTTCATCTAGACAAGACCCTTTCTGTTGTTTAAATCTTTCGGATTTAAACTTAGAACCACAAAATGCCTTGTCTCATCCTTTTTCATTTTTCCCCTCTTCTAATTTTTAATTTATTTTACGTTGTTGTTTTATATACATATGAATTGGTCCAAACTTTTATTTGATAGTCCTGCTAACGTGCTGGTTTTTGATCGGACTGAGTTCCTCAAACACGTTCAGATACAGCTTCAGAGTATCAGGGGACATGCAGTGTTAGACGTTTGTGTGCAGGTCTGTGCAAATGCCAACTTCAGGGAGCTGTGATTCGGTAGAAAGAGGGTCATGTGCCTTACAATCTGAATCTCAGAGACCACCCTCACTCTTTACCCCTCTAAGGCCTGTAAAAGCTAAGCAGACCTGAGGCCACACCCAGACACAAATGGGAAAGTCTGGAAGGCACAGCAAGGGTGAGACTTTCTGCTGGATTTCCCTCTATTTCTATTTTATGAATGTTTTTGATTGCCAGATTTCGAACCTAAAGTAAAGAAACCCACCGCCAGTCTCAGGTGTCGAGCATCAAACTATTGTCAACCTGAAGTCTATGATCTTTTTAAACATCAAGTGTGATCAAGTATATGAATTTAAGACCCCATGAAATCCAGCAGGTTTCTTTCTTCTGTTGACATATTTCCTAGTTTGGTCTGTTTGGCTGCAAGAAAAAGACTGTAAATTTTAAATGTTTATATCTGCTAAAAGGGTATTTTTTATCAATGTTAAAATATAGATGTCACACGTGGAATTTTTTTGGCAATTTTAAAGCAAGCCATTTTGATTTCATTGGGCCTTTTTATGATAATTGGTACAGCTTTGGTTGAAATCAAAATGTCTCCATTATTTTTCACATTTTTAAAACCAAGAAACTGCACCAGAGATTGCTTGCGAGTGCAGATTTTGAATGTTCACAATGGTGTGATGCCAGACACATCATAATAATATTGTTAGTTACAGATGCATTCAACATAATGCTGAGAAGCTATTGTAGCTATTGGGTGCTATAATAATAAAAAAAAAGTTTGCATAAATGTTCTTGAGGGCAAAGACCGTAAACTAGATCCTAAATCCTGCCTGAATGAATCCAAATTACAGTTTTAGCTCCACATGGCTCATATTTCCTCTGTATCATTCAGTCTGGCTTTTCCCCCCCTTTCACTCTCTTTATCTCTGCAGACCTCTTCCCGTCTCTCTGTCCGACCCTCCAGTTCTGAAACGCCTAGCGCTGCAGAGCTAGTCAGTGCCATTGAGGAGCTGGTCAAAAGCAAGATGGTAAGAAGTGCACAGATGTGTATATATGATATGATATATGATATGATACTTATTTTTACTATTATTGTTATTATTATTAAATATTAAATACAATTTATAAAAATTAAATGATTCTTTATTGTTGGTATTTATTGTAAATTTAGTATTCAAATTCTGTTTAATGCTGCCACTGTAATTGAGATCCTTATTGTTTTTGTGACAGATAAATATTTCTCTATTTGTAAAAAAAAATAATTAATTATTTTTACTTTACCTTTTTATTAGTAGAGTAGCTTATATTCAGCCTGTACTTTGACAACCTGCAGCTTCAATGTTGCTTACCCATCATTTTATTTGGCTGGACTGTCTCGTGTCCACACAGGCTTTGGAGGACAGACCCAGCTCTTTGTCTGTGGAGCAAGGGGACAGCAGCAGCCCCTCTTTCAACCCATCTGATAACTCCCTTCTCTCCTCCTCCTCTCCGATCGATGAGATAGAGGAACGCAAGACCGGCTTTCTCAAGAGACGGCAGTATGTCATCATGCTTTTCTCTCTGTCTCTGTTATTGTCCTCATTCATTGTCAGTGTCTATAACACGTGTCCCCTTTCTCCTTTTAGTTACGTTCTGCTGGAACTGATCGAGACAGAGAGGGACTATGTGAGAGATCTCAGTTTGGTCGTGGAGGTAAATGAATACTGTTCACGGGATGCTGAGATACAGGGAGTGATCATGTGACTAGATCTGAAGCGCATACATATGTTGTGTGTTTGGTAGGGCTACATGACCAGGATGAGGGAAGATGGAGTTCCAGATGATATGAAAGGAAAAGACAAAATAGTTTTTGGAAACATTCAGCAGATATATGACTGGCACAAAGAGTAAGTATCTAGTCTGTGAAGTATTATATTTTCAGTTATTTTTAAATGATGGACATTGATGGAAAAAAAAATCAGCAATTTTATGACAATTTTACAGACTTTGAAGAGAGATTAAACTAACTATAATCCTTATTGTTTTAGTTTCTTCCTGGGAGAGCTTGAAAAGTGCCCTGAGGTTCCTGACCGGCTAGGCCCTCTCTTCGTCAAACATGTAAAATTGTTATGCTTTTTTAGGCAACCAATCAAACTTTTTTTCTGTAATATGATATTGTGCATACTTATGAACTCATCATGCCTTTCAGGAGCGAAGACTGCACATGTACATTGTTTACTGCCAGAACAAACCTAAATCTGAGCACATTGTCTCAGAGTATATCGACACCTATTTTGAGGTGCGTAACTGAAGTCTTCAGTCTGATTTGAACATATTTTCTGCCCATTATAAAGTTTGCATTTCCTTATGAAATACATTTTGCATTCATGTTGGTATACCACCAAATTGAAATTACATAGAACATAATCAAACATTTATAATGTGATATTAAATAAATACATTAAGCATTTATATATATAAGCATCAAGGTCCGTTTTTGACCCTCTCTTGTAGGATCTGAAGCAGCATCTGGGTCACAGGCTTCAGATCACTGATCTGCTCATTAAACCTGTGCAGAGAATCATGAAGTACCAACTGCTGCTTAAGGTTTGTCCATCTGGCCCACTGCATCTCATTGTTTTAGCTCTATTGACAGAGATGTTACTCTAATCTTGATTCTGATGTCTCTGGTTTGGTTTATTTATTTCCAGGAGTTCCTTAAATTTTCCAAAAAAATCGGAATTGATTCAGTAGAATTGGAGGTTAGATTTTTCGTTGTCATATACTACAATTCAAAAGTTTGGGATCAATAAGATGTTTTTGGCCTGTTGTCATGTGTCTTGCACTCAACAAGTGTGCATTTATTTGATCAAAAATGCCGTATATTCAGTGTCACATGATCCTTCAGAAATCATTCTAATATGCAGATTTGTAGCTCATTTCTTATTATTATCAATGTTGAAAACAGTTTTAGCAGTTATAATGACTGGGTTTTCAGGATTTTTTTAATAGAAAGTTCAAAAGTGTAAATCTTTATCTTTTGTAACATAATAAATATATTTACTGTTACTTTAGATTAAGTTAATATGTCCTTGTTAAATAAAAGTATAAATAAGTGTCTTTAAAAAAACTTACTGACCCCAAACTTTTGTGTGTATATATATACTGACTATACATATATAAGTAGATGTATATTTATATATTGATTGGTTGTCATATGTATTTATACTGATGAAGTTATTGATGTGTTGTAGAGAGCGGTTGAGGTCATGTGCATTGTACCAAAAAGATGCAATGACATGATGAATGTTGGTCGACTCCAGGGATTTGATGTAAGATTGCTGTGACCTTTTTATACGAGTAGATTATTATCAAGAATAATTGAAGTGTTTTACATGTGAATTAATTAATCTGATCGGTCTGTCTGTCTTTCACAGGGAAAGATCATTGCTCAGGGGCGTCTCCTCCTGCAAGACACCTTCATGGTGGCTGAACCGGATGGAGGCCTGCTGAACAGAATGAAGGAGAGAAGAGTCTTCCTCTTTGAACAGATTGTCATCTTCAGTGAACCTTTAGATAAAAAGAGGGGCTTCTCGATGCCTGGCTACCTGTACAAATACAGCATCAAGGTACAGGCGTCCTTGTCTGTCTGTTTCGATTGGTATCTAATTGTGTTATGTCAGACTCTGTGATAAATATAAGACTGTATAAATTAAAAATATTCTGTTTGTATGTGTGTAGGTGAGCTGTCTGGGGATTGAGGAATGTGTGGATGGAGACCCATGTAAATTCGCACTGACCTCCAGAACGTCTAATGGCAGCAAAGATGCCTTTATTCTGCACTCAAGCCATCCTGGAGTACGACAAGTCTGGATGCTGCAGATCAGCCAAATCCTGGAGAGTCAACGCAATTTCCTCAATGGTACAGTATAGAAGTACTTAGGTGTATAGAAGACTTTAAATCATCCAGGAATCAACTTGAAATGTTAAAAATGTATTTGTCTATTAACATTAACATTAACCTAGAATAATAAAGTGTTATATATACATGACAAGTTCATGATGTCTAAATGCTAATGAATTGATCCTCATTGTAAAGTTTTACCAAAATTGCTTACAATATCTTTGTTGGTTTGCAAATCTTTCCTGTTAAGCCCAAAGTATACTTCGTACTCTTTCTAACGTTTCATCGGTATCTCGTATGGGAACACCCCAGGTGTAACCGATTGTGGAAGCACCAAGGACACCACATCTGCCAATCACGGCAGACCAATCGCTGCAGTGATCAGGGAGTCCCTGTATTCGGGTGCTTCTACTAAATACTGAGCAAAGGGTCTGAATACTTAGGACCATGTGATATTTCAGTTTTTCTTTTTTAATAAATCTGCAAAAATGTCAACAATTCTGTGTTTTTCTGTCAATATGGGGTGCTGTGTGTACATTAATGAGGAAAAAAAATTAACTTAAATGATTTTAGCAAATGGCTGCAATATAACAAAGAGTGAAAAATTTAAGAGGGTCTGAATACTTTCCGTACCCACTGTATAATCCGCAGCTACCTGCTGTTTCGTCATTCTCATTCTCTTCCCCATGGAAGATTTCGGAAGCGGTCCTCAGCAGACTTCTGGAATTATTGCTCAACAGTTTACCAACGAATGAGTGACTGCACTTGGAATTGGATACCTAATGCATTTTTCAGCTCTAAGTTTCTCAATAGTCTATGTTTTTTCCCAAGTTTTGGTGGTGGTCATCATGCACCAATAAGTGAGCTCACTACTCTCAGCACAGCTCCGTACTAGTTTTCACGTTGTGGTAGACTTACCGTGCGAATAGTGTGCAGATGTCTTAATGGCCATCTCGAAAGAGCCAGAAAGCCACGGAGTGAAAGGCCGTCCTCTACATCCTTGCGCCTGTGGAGCGTGGATTTCTGCCAAGGAGTCTCTGCATCTCCTGCCTGGACGTTAAACATGCTCAGGCAGCACTATCCAATCCCAATGGCTACACTCACTGCTTGATTTTCTCTACTAAAACCCGTGAAAGGAGACTCTGAATGGTAGCCGCAAGAAAGTCGGACCCTTGGAGTGTCCGGTTGGTGCTTGTAGGAGAGAGATTGCTGTGGCTGAGAGTTGTCTGGACTCTGAGAAAGAGAAAGTGGAGTTTTTTGAATTTCATCAATCCAAAAGCTCTGTTCGGAGCAACTGTTACAGCGATGCAGTAGCAGTGCGATCTACGGAAGAGGCAGGGAGAGGCATTCGATGTTTGTCTCCCCAGAATGCCAGTGTCTCGGCCTTATCATCCGAGCCAGCCAAGTTTCAGACCCATGGGAAAAGGAGGTCAGTCTGAGTATCAGCCTTCCCGTCACATTCAGCCACAACAACTGTAAAGTGCGGCCGCGCAGACGAAACCCGGGTTTGTGAAACCGAAAACAGCAATGAAACATCATTCCGCAAACCCCCAGGGTAGCAAGAAGAGGCGGTCTACCTGAGACATCTACCAGAGTTTCTCTGTCTCATCCCATCAGAACATTCCACATCTCCCTCCTGCTGGGAAAAGGAGAAGGAATTTAAATACAGAAATTGTTCTTGCAGACTGTTCAGTCAACTGTGTGCAGGAGTGTGGCCCATGTTCCCCAGGTGCCCCCCAAAACATTGTCTCCCCCGCTACCCACGGGGTTTGTTCTGAGAAAGGAAGACCGAAAGTTCACGAGATTGTTTCACTCAAAATATTCATCTGGGAGACTGGGTCACCTTGGTAGATCTCCAGGATTCATATTTTCACATAGATATCTTTCCTGCGCACAGGAAATCTCTGAGATTTGCATATCAGAACACAGCATAGGAGTATGCGAAAATTACCTTCGGCCTTTGTCTAGGTATTCAGCAAATGTGTAGAGGGGGCTCTGACTGTTAAGGAATACGGGAGTCAGTCTCATCTTATCTAGACGATAGGCTCGTTTGCGGACTGTCCCCACGCCAAGCAGAGCTTGATACAAATACACTGGTGACTCAACTGGAGAGATTATGTTTCAAGATAAACCTGGCAAAGAGCTGTCTGACTCCTTCACAGGAGATAATCTACCTGGGTCTCAGGTTGAATTCAGTGAAGTTTCAAGCTTTCCTATCAGAGTAGCGCATCGAGGCGTTTCACCGCTGCATCTCCCTTTTTCAGTGAGGGACAAGTCTCTCAGATTGTGCCTCCGGTTACTGGGTCTGATGGCCTCAACACTGTTCCTCTGGGTCTATTGCGAATGAGAGAATTCCAGAATCGGGCAGCGTCACAAGGTATCCCCATTGAGCCTAATCGAGCCTACATTATGGTGGGTACGAGAACGTGGTCAAATAATGATTCTAATAGCACCATACTGGCCGGGGAGACTGTGGGTAGCGGAGATTGCGCAGCTGCTCTACGACCAACCATGGCCACTACCAGCACGCAGGGATCTTCTCTCTCAAGTACGGGGCGAAATATTTCACCCCTCCCCTCAGAATTTGTCCGTGGTCCTGAACGCGCTCTCAAAAGGCCCGTTTGAGCCCATTGAGAGCATCTCCTTAAAGCTGCTTTTTTTAAAGACGGCTCTGTTACTGGTTCTTACTACAGAAAAAAGGGTTAGCGAACTGCACTATCAGTTCACTCCTCATCTATGATGTTCACTCCGGGTGGCCTAAAAGTTACTTTTAGAACTAACCCGGTGTTTATGCCTAAAGTATTCAATCACGCTGGTTCAGGTCAATCCGTGGATTGGATGGCTTTCCATCCATCACCTTTTTCATGTCCAAAGGAGGAGCAGCTACACTCTTTATGTCCAGTGCGGACTCTACAAATGTATCTACAAAGAACCAGACCACTTCGCAAAAGCAATCAGCTTTTTGTTTCATGGGCCGACTCTTTTAAGGGAAAGCCTGTCTCCTGTCAATGCCTCTTGCACTGGGTTGTAGAGTCAATTGTGTTATGTTATAATAGTGTGAATAAAGAGCCCCCATATAGCTCACTCTACCAGAGGTATAGCTACATCTTGGGCACTATTTAAGTGCATTTCTATCCAGGAAATTTGTGCTGTGGCTAGCTGGTCTTCCCCATAGACAAACTGTACATTAAGCTCTTGGGTAGCCCAGTTTATTATAGTGTCAAAATGTTCAGACTATACTTATTTGTGTTAACCACTTGAGTTGGGTTGAAGAGGTTTAATTCAGATCAGGTTACTAACGCAACCTCAGTTCTCTGATAACATGAAGTAAGGTATCTCGCAGTGTTGCCCTCCTTGCCTGTTCCACACGGAGAAGAGATATGAGGAGAATGACAAAATGACAAGTAGCTGCAGTTTATGTACAGGGAGGTGGGACTCCCTGATCGCTATGATTGGCAGATGTTGTGTCATTGGTGCTTTTGCAATAGGTCATGCCTGGGGCATTCCCATAGTGAATTCCCATACACGTACACTAGCATATGCGTACGGTCGACACTTGTGCTCTAGAAAAACCCGACACAAGCAGGCGGTCGGCACATGTGCTCTAGAAAGCTTCACCTTTGTCCAGCGTCTGTTTTTCTCCAGAAATTATGGCTGATAAAAATGTCTTTGTACTCTTTTAACCTAAAGTTGCGGCTCTCTAATTACCCTCTCATACAAGCGCTTGTGTTCAGCTGTCTGTGGTTGTTGCAGTCTCCGCTATTTTGTTGTTGTTCCGTCTCTTTAGTTTAGTTTTCTGCCACCCTGTGGAACAACTGATTAGTGCAAAACCAAGTCAATGCACATGTGCGACCTGTGCGTACAAAGTTAAAAAAAAGCGAAGTATACTTTGGCCTTTACACCCTTCTAAAATCTGGATAATCTGAGGTGTTATACTCATGTGCGAATCATTCTCCTCACTAGATGTCTTTCTCCTGTAGCACTTACATCTCCCATAGACTACCAGAGGAACCATGTCGAGGGGCCTGGTATCTCAGGCAGCAGCATACAGGCTGGAAGTAGCGGGGGTCAGGTTATGGCCCCCGGAGGAGGTGGAGGGGCCCCGGCTGGGTCGGGCTCCCGCTCCCGTCCCTCCCGCATCCCCCAACCCTCGCGCTTGCCTCAGCCACTCCGTCATCACTCTCCTGCCCTGGGGCCCGGAGCCCACGAGCCTGACGGCCTCGACAAAATATCAGGTATGTCCCCAAGACCTCTCTCCAGGGGTCCCTCACCCTCTTGCACCACAGAGCCTGATCCAAAGGTGAAGGTTCCTGCAAGCCCTCACCCCAAACAGACAGACTCTACAGAAAGCACTTCCAAAGATAGCAGGGATGGAGCCGGCACGGTCCAAATCCCTCGAGCCACTGTGGCCCCGCTAGCACTGGTCAAACCCAGACCTGGAACGGTCTCGCCCATGGCCTCCCCATTAGCCACACCAGCTTTCAAAGACTCCATCCCACCCTGCAGTCCTGGGCCAAAGACGGGCGGCAGCTCTACCTCATTCTGGAGCTCCGTTCCTGCATCCCCTGCCAGCAGGCCTGGTTCCTTTACTTTCCCCGGGGAAGCATGTGACACACTGGGACGGCAAAATCAGAACCAAAGTCACCGGCATTCCACCCACAGTAAGGACGCAGACCGCATGAGTACCTGCTCTTCTGCAAGTGAACAATCTGTCCAGTCCACTCAGAGCAACGGGGTAAGAGACACATTTCTGCCCGGTCAACCGCAGTGCTTCAACTCAACTCTGCTCCTGTCCTCCCTCATGAGTGACTTTCTAACCTGCCTGGATTCTGTCTGATTTCTGCCTCTCCTAACCTGGTTTCTACTCTGTGGACTTTCAACAGATCCTTTGCTCTGCATCTCAGAATTTTAACAAAGTTCTGCTTCTGTCCAGATACTAACTATGTTTATGGAGGTGTAAAACAAGAACCAGGTTTTCCCTTCCTTAAAAAATGCTCATAACTTCAAGCTTTCTTTGTGGTGTGTACAATAGAATCAGCTTTTCCTAAGGACTAAAATTGCGGTCACACTTACTATTGTTTTATGAATTTTCTTGGGTGAAATACAGTAATTTCAATAGGAAACAATACGAGTGGGAATTTCGCATCAGGGTGAAAGATTTCTGCACACAGATTTCTTAATGGGTTCAAATTAGACGCATGGATTTGCTACATTGACCAAAAGAACGCTGCTTGATATGAAAGTCACTTCTGTGTGAGCTTTGTTTCGTAAATCACTACACCATTGACAATAGACATTGGACCTTTTTTGACCACAAAATTTTGCTAATCTGACTGCATCTTAACACTGTTAATTATTACAAAACCAATGCAAGAAATATCTGTGGATGTTTTGATTCTGTCTATCATGTGACCTAGTTCCGAATTTTAGATCTATTTAGCAGGCTACTGTAACTACCTTGGGTTCTTGTCTAACTTTCTTTTCTGTTTCTTTTCTTTTCCTTGACTATTCATGTTTATTAATGCATGTTTTCAATGCAGTGCACTTGCAGGGTTAATCAAAAGTTGTAAATATTGAGCGTAGGAGTTATTATGGAATGTTTTGTCATCATCTAATACCAAAAATGAAATTCAAAACATACATTTATTATGAATTTACTAGCCCTCATGTTCTGTTGAGGTTCTGAGAGATCTCAAGACTCTCTTTTGTTACCATTGAAGATGACACGTTTCCTAATCTAATGAAAACTGATTTCAACTTGATAAAATACTTCAAATGTCCTCCATAATAACTATTGCAATATGTCTAGGGGAGAGGCCCAAAACATATAAACATTTATTAAACAATTAATGAAATAAAAGATGAAAATAAGAAATTTCACTTAATTTTCTGATTGTTTACTTTTACAACGATTTTCGAACTTATTTTTTAACACATTTAAACAGAACATGAGGGTTAATAGATAAATGTGAAAATACTGTAATTTACCCCTACAGTAAACACAGGTAAACCTACAGTGTTATACACTACAGGCATTTGTGTTAAAGCTATAAAATCTCTCAGATACTAAGACCTGTATGTGTGTCTGTTTGTCCACAGAGTGAAAGCAGCAGCAGCAGTAATATATCCACCATGTTGGTGACTCAGGACTATGTGGCTCTGAAAGAGGATGAGATAAATGTAGGTCAGGGGGAGGTGGTGCAGATCCTGGCCTCCAATCAGCAGAACATGTTCTTGGTGTTTCGTGCCGCTACCGACCAATGCCCAGCTGCCGAGGGCTGGATCCCTGGATACGTGCTGGGCCACACCTCCGCCATTATCCCTGATGTACCAGAGGGGACCATTAAGTAAGAGCTCGCCTCTGACCATTTACACAACACATTCTACAATAAAATCAAACCCATTTTTGTTACAGACCTCTAGTGGTTATCATCTGTTCTTTATGTTGGGCATTCAACGTCGCGTTTTAATCATTATTTTTAACATAATGGGTTGCTTTCCAGCAGGAAATCATCATCATGGCATACATCCCTCCGTATTCGTAAGAAGTCAGAGAAAAGAGAGAAGGAAAATAAAAAGGAGGCCAAGCTTGAAAATGGATACAGGAAATCCAGAGAGGGACTAACCAATAAGGTCTCTGTAAAGGTAACACTAATGAAAACACATACAAATCTTTGTCTTTAATGTTATTTTCTACAAAAATGCTCAAAACCTTTTCCATTTTGCAGCTTCTAAATCCCAATTATATCTATGATGGTAAGTTCAAAATGTTTAAGTGCATCATTCAGTTTGTTTAGAATTATAAAGAAGTCATAAACATCTTAATAAGGGGTTGATGTAAATGTTTTTCCTCCAGTTCCCCCGGAGATACTCATCCCGCTGAGTGATGTGACCTGTGATAAAGGGGAGTGTGTCACTCTGAGGTGTAAAGTGTGTGGCCGCCCCAAAGCCACAGTCACATGGAAGGGACCCGATCAGAAAATACTCACCAACAACGGCCACTTTAGCGTAGCTTACAGGTGTGAACAAACAGATATATATAGCTTTGGCACTGTACATACAGTATATTGTGTTTATTTTGTTAATATAAGTTTGTGTATTGCTCTTTTAGATTTGTTTAAAATAGGGGGGAAATGCTAATAAGAAAAATAAAGATATTTGATTTTTTTTTTTTTTTGTAGTTATTAAACTCAGTTTTTGCTAATGTAATGTTTTTGTTTTCTGCATAAATCATAATTTCTTTCCACTGCATCACAGTGAGACTGGCGAGGCCACTCTCCGTATCGTAGGCGTGACCTCAGAGGATGATGGCATGTACACCTGCATTGCAACGAATGACATTGGCAGTGTGACATCATCAGCCAGTCTCAGAGTGTTGGGTAAGATGTGTTCCCATTCAAATTGGCAATGCAAACAGTCCACCTGGTGTTTCAAAGAGTATTTGAGCAAGGCTTTGAGCTTAACTGAACTGTCTTTCACAGGAACTACTAGTGATGGAATCCGGGTCATGTGGAAAGACAACTTTGAGTCCTTCTACAGTGAGGTAGCAGAGCTGGGCAGGTGAGGCAAAGGGAATTTATGCACATCATTTTGATATCATATGGATTCCCTTATAAAACCGAGGCAGCATTTCAATTGTGTTGATGTTGTTTCTCTCTCTTAGGGGAAGGTTCTCAGTAGTAAAACGCTGTGACCAGAGGGGATCAAAGCGCACCGTAGCGGTCAAGTTTGTGAATAAGAAACTCGTGAAACGAGACCAGATCACCCACGAGTTTAGCGTCCTACAGAGACTCCAGCACCCTCACCTAGTCAGACTACTGGACACCTTTGAGACCTCCAGCAGCTATGCACTGGTCCTTGAAATGTGAGAGCTCACACACGTGCACACACACTTTAATATCAAATAGACTGTTTCACACAAGTTCATGACCATGTGTATTGTGTGACTGCACAGGTCTGATCAGGGCCGTCTACTGGACTACATTGTGAGCTGGGGGAACCTCACTGAGGAAAAAGTGGCCTTTTACCTCCGGGACATTTTAGAAGCTTTGCAATACCTGCACAACTGCAGAATAGTTCATCTGGATCTAAAGGTCAGTGTTATTTTTTTCTGGTATTGTCAATATGTCAATATTATATATTAGGGATCTGGCCGATCAAGTAATTTTTTAACTGATCGTATCAGCTCTCCTCAGCACGATCCTTTTTTTTATGTCAGCTGTCATGCTGGTGTCATGAAGTAGGTGGCAGTATGAACTATTAAACCATTAAAAGCTCAAATGTGCGTACCGTGCGGGAACCAGGGAGGTCGAGTGTTTCCCACAGACTTTGTGGCCGCATATATATGCAAGTCCATTCTCTGCCTCTGTGAGCAAGAGATAGAGGTTTCCCCGGTAACGGCTGTACACAAAGCAGCGCTCCGCTCACAAACGCTGCTTTATCAGACATTACATGCAAGACGAAATGAAAATGACATCTAAAATTTTCTGAAGACAGTCGGATTCAGAAATACAGTGATATAAAAACACCTGTACTGGGTTACGATTTTGAAAGGTGCAGTGCTCATGTTTATTCAACGAAGTCAAAGCCTTTTGGAAATCTATTTGTGGCGGTCAGTTTTGATATTGTGGCGGGCCGCCACAAGTAAATCAATGTATGGGAAACACTGGAGGTCTGTTCTAGTGCCTCTCACACTTACGAGCTTCTGTGTTCAGTATATTTGATGCACACTTTTGTAATGATCACTCATTAATTTATCCTTTATTTTTATCTGCCGTCAGACTATCTGAGAATTCATAGTTATAACTTGCTTTGGATCTGACTGATAGACTGACACCGCGAGCTTCATGCTTTCTAACCATATCTCCACATTTTTCCCTTTATGTTGCAATTAGTCTGCTTATAATTATAGATATAATTATTCTGCATACATATAAAATACAAGATGTTTATATCAGTAGTCCCATATTCATAATTGTGACCACATTTCCAGTGTCTACCATTGTAACATGTTTACATCTACAGTGTGTGTATATACATAGAGAGATTGTATCTTATTACAGGGCTCGACATTAACGCTTGTCAGCTTGTCCGGGACAAGTGGATTTTGTGAAGGGGCAAGTGAAAGAGAATTTTACTTGCCCGACCGTACAAGTAACCTGATTAAAATTTTAATAACAAACAATAACTAAGGCAGCACCGAAACATTGGCGAGAATGATTCTGACTTTACTTTCAGTGTAAATGGTGACTAATAATGGATAATGTATTGACAGTATCAAGGTCGCATCAGTTGACTCATGGAGAAATAAAAACTATAAGTGCAACAGCACACAAAAAGAAAACAAACATGAACAAACATTTAAAACAAGAACAAACATTTAGTAGAAAAAAAAGATAAATATTCTATATAATATATGCAACATCACACGACCAAGAGTGTTTTCCAGACTTCTCAGAGCAACACAACAGTGTTTCGTTACTGAATGATTCAGCATTTTTGAACGAATTGGGTGAGTCAATGATTCAGTGAGCTATTCATAAAGACAGTTACTTGCTTCATTTATTGAATGAATCAGCTGTTTGAACGAATCGGTTGAATCAATGATTCACTCATTAAGACAGTGACTTGCTACCACCTACTGGTGGTTTAATTTTACATATTTAAAAGTATCATTGCATTTTTCCAACATTTCATATTTGTATGTCAAAAAAAGTAAAACATTAATCTAATAACATTATTTAAGCATTTGCAATTTTGAGTAAATGAATTTATGGAACCTTTTATCTTCATTAAACAGTCTTGAGTAAATACATCTAAATGCACTTTCAATGCAGCTTCAGTTTCCTCTGCAGTGGAAAGATGGAGTTTGTTGATACTGATTTCATTTGAATGGTAACAACCATATAGTGTTTTATTATTCTAACTTAATGTATTGATTAAATTTAAGATTTTGACATAAATGGTGACGTACATTTAATCAGGTTAGGAAAATATTGTCCTTCATAAAGTTAAAAAGTGTAACAGCAATCAATTTAAGGCAAATATCACAAATATGCTGATTAAAGTAATACCTGATAGAGCACTGATGAGACATTTTCTTCAGAATAAATTAGATTTACGCAAAAAAAACAAAAAAAAACATATTTTTTCCCCCCAGGCAAGTAACTTTTTTTTGCTCGGACAAGTGAATGACTGATTTACAAGCACATGTCAAAGCTTAATGTCGAGCCCTGTATTATATATACTGTATATATATATATATATATATATATATATACTTACACTCTCTGCACAAGTCTGTATACATTGGATTGATTTTAATAACTTTAATGTATTTGAATTGTGCACCACACACTAGGAATATACAAATATCGGATCGGGACTCAATATTGGATGATTGGGATTAGATCGGGGGCACAAAAAACCTGATTGGTACATCCCTATTATATACAGTACGTACCTAATAAATTATATATCATTTTATAATTAATACTTCTAAAAATGTGCCACTTTTAATATATGAATAAATAAAACAAAGTATTAATAAATACACCACATTTAATAATAAATAAATAAAATATAAAGTATTACTAAATAAATATAATTAATAAATAAACATTGAATAAATATCTATAAAGAAAATTTTATTTAATACATATCAGTTTATTTATATTTTTAAAACTAGTCGAAAAATGTGAAGAAAAAGTTTAAAATGTTTCTTTGCACATTCCTAATTACAAAGTGATGCTAATTTCCCATTTTCTGATCAGCCTGAAAACCTTGTGGTGGACCAGAGCCCCTCCCAGCCGATGGTGAAGCTGACTGATTTCGGCGATGCGGTGCAGCTGAACTCGACTCCCTATGTTCACCCACTGCTGGGTAGCCCAGAGTTTGCGCCCCCCGAGCTGGTTCTCGGGGATCCTCTCTGTACTGCAGTTCTGCTACTGTTAATTTAATCGGGTCTTTGTATCATTAAGTATTAAAGCCCTGTCATCCTACAGGGTTGTTGGCTACATGGCACTTTTCTGTTGATATACATATTGGTATGCCAAAGGTCTCCATACTTTATGAGAATTAGTTTTTCTTTTTCCTTTTGTTCCCCGGCACAAATTTTACACCTTTAAGTTATATGCTTAAGTAGCTATGACTGGTTGTTTACATGAGTTATTCATAGCT